TTACTTGAAATATATGCAGTATGAAAACATTGATATTCAGATATTTCGGGTTGAAAGTTTGAAAAGTTTGATTTTGAAGTTGGGCCCAAAGGCGACGGTTGATCATATTCAAGTATGTTACGTGCCTAGGTGTCCTTGACACCATATTCGAAGCTCATCACCCGTCGCCTTTGGGCCCAGGTCGAAATCTGAGGTAGAACCGAGAAAAACGTGGATTTTCAGCTATTTCGGGCTAAAAAGTTGAAAAAGTTCTGGACTTTTGGGGTTTTCTCAGTGCAAAGTACTGCATAACTAACAACTCTAAGTCTTGGCATGGGCAACTCATTTTTTTGACCGCCTTAAGGCACATTTGCACAAATGTTAGTATTGTGGTCTTTCGGAAAGAAGATATTTATCGCTGTGGGAATTCAATGGGGGAAAAAGCTGATCTATTCCATCTTTACAGTCGTTGTTACAGCTTTTTTGATGTCAAAAGTATTATAAAGGTAGCTGACACTACAATTCCTAATTTTATTAAAATAAAATCCTACTAAAATTGTATTGAGAGGTTTTTCTTCAGTTCGAACTTCGTATTTTTTCTTGCTCACGACGTCTGAAAGTGCGATAAGCGCAGAATCACGATCAAACCTGAGTTCGAATATGATCAAAGTTTTGTCTTTTCTAACAATCAATGTGTCTATCGTTGTTTTGTTCGGGCCCAAAACTTCATTATCCACTTGCAAAAATAAATCTGCACACGATTTAAATTTTGGGATGACATGAAAAGGAGCTCGAAATTCACGCTCAGAATCGGGTAAAACTTTCTCAAAAAGCTCCCTTATCGCGAAGAGCATACGTTGGAAACTTTCTTCTGAACAGTTCAGCTTGACGATCGAGTTCGCATAGTTGGTCATTTCCTTTCTTGTTACCTTGAACTTTTCCACGAAATAATTTCCCGTGTAAAGAAGACTTCCCAGGAGTTTCTTAATTTCCTGATTGGGGACAATCAAGTCAGCACTGCACAATTTGTCATTCTTGCTGATTATTGTATAACACCCGTTCTCTTGTAGAAACTGCAACATGAGATGCTCTGTCGCGACACTTTTTTCTAACTGATTCTTCGGCTTCGAAACCAGAAGATGCAAATTTTTAATATCATGCTCGGTGAAAAAAGACAATTTTCTACCTATACTGGTGACTTTCTCCAGAGTTTTCTCGATTGTTTCCCCAAATTTATTGTATTTGAAAAGCTCCGAAAGCTGCAACAGAATGGGTATGGGTTTGAAGTCCTTTGCTCTCCCTCTCTTCTCCATGAATTTTGAGAAAGAACGGATGGCATACATTTTTTCTTTCGCAGCCAAAGAAAAGTATCCGTCGTAGGTCCTCTGTGCATCTTCGAACCATGCTTGTCGACCGTACCTCCTCAACAATTTCTCAACATCTCTCAGCTTTAGTCCATAAAATTCACTGAGTGTCGTGTTCTCAAAAATCGAGTAGTATTTCAGCCTTTTAAGGTGTTGAGTGTAAACATTACCAACAGAAGATGCGCCTGTCAAAAGAGCATGACTGACAAACTTGTTGTCTTGTAACAACCCTGTCATAAGAACTTCGAGGATTTCGAATACCTCGCTCATGGTGTTGTCTTTGCTTCCTTTGATGATGAATTTAGAGGCAGGAGCGTCATAGTTATCGATCAGCACCACGCAACTGTTATTGAAATGCTTGTGCAATAATCTCGACAAATGCAAGCCACCGTTGGCGTATGTTCTTTCCGTCAGTAAAGGATGCCCGTCCGGATGTCGATCTTCATCGAAGATGGTACGCTCGTCTCTTTTCAATTGCGGGCTGTTGGCCAGGTACGCATGGTTCCTGAAAAGGTCACTGATCATCAAACGCATGGAAATGGAAAAGGTCTCCAAGTTCTCCACGTCCAGCTCTTCGAAATCCAAGTAGATCACAGGATGGCTAGCGATGTGATCTTGGCAGAAAGCACGATCTCCATCTCTGCAACATCGCAGCTCGTCGAGGAACTGACGCTTTTCGCGGACGTAGAATTTCAAGACGGTCCCGGCTTCGTCGACAGGGACTTCGAAAAACATTTGGAGAAGCTCCAGGTTGGACGTCTTGCCGAAGCGTGGTGGCGCGTGGATTACCATCAGCTCCTCTTTCTCGTAGAAATGGTTGACGAACCGACTTTTGTCGAGATATAGTGGCCCGGCTCTGACGTTGACCCATTCGTGGTTGAAATTATAAACGCCACCCTGCTGCTCCTCTGCGTCGTAATATGCGAGGTTTTCCTCGGCAGCCAACTGCGAACAGACGAAAATATAGCAGTGGAAAAACAAGGCTGAAAAAACGGGGAACAAGGCTAAAAATACACAATTTATGAACCCGAGATGTTTCGACTCAAAACTGAGTAATTTTCAGTCGGAAACAATAAAATTTAAAAGAAAAACCTATAAAAACCTGAGCCCTACATGGTAGCGGCCGGGATCTGAGAGAAAGAGAAAATTGATAACAAACAAGGCACATCGATAATATATCGAAAATATATCGATGGTGAAAAGACCAAGCACACAGACGAGCACCACATATCACTAATTGTAAGTTTCCTCTTGGGCCTTTGGGGGCGCGCAGCGCCCCGCGGGTTGGGCCGCGTAGTGGACAGGGGGCGGAGCCACCTAGTAATCGAAAAAAATATTTTTGGAAAAGATATAAACGCTTCTGAAATCCACATTGCGTATTTTAATAATTAACAGAACATATATTGAACAAATAGAATTCGAGTACCCATTTTAAAGGCACGCGTTTTACGAGCAACGCCATGCATTCATTCGGAGGCTTCCAAGTAGTAAGCAGCACGTGCGTGGTTTGCCTTCACTTGACCGAATAGGCAAAAACATGCCCCACGCGTTGGAATGGCCCTGGTAAAAATTGGCGATAGAAGCTGCGTTTCAAAATACCATAGGAGTTCTAATAGCCGACTGAAGAAGGCGATAGAAAATCATATAGTTTGCTGTAGAAAGGGGAAAAAATCATACGGCCGGGCTACACGAAGCGATACAAAATTACTAATCCTTTGTTTTCTTTATCGGGAACTACGTGATTTACTTACTTTCTTTTTCGCCCGATGAATTTTTCGGCTGTCACTATTTAAACTTAAACGATGGTCATTTAGGCTCCTGTGGAAGCCATCATCAGGTAATTAATAACTAACAACGAAAATAAAAACAAAAACCGAAGCTAAAAACTGACATTAAAATTCCACGTATTATCGCCGGCGACGCGTCGAATTTTAACGTCAGTTTTTAGCTTCGGTGTTTGTTTTTGTTTTTATTTTCGTTGTTGGTTATTAATTACCTGATGATGGCTTCCACAGAAGCCGAAATGGCCATCGTTTAAGTTTAAATAGTGACAACCGAAAATTTCATCGAACGAAAAAGAAAGTAAGTAAGTCGATACAAAATTATACAGCCCGGCTATAGTTCCTATCGCCGGGCTTTACTTTTTATCGCCTGGCTGTTGCTTTTTCGCCATCGGCTATAGACGGCTATAAGAAATTTTGTAGAAAGTCGTGTGCTTTGTAAATCCTTAAGTTTGTACGGAATCACCTTAATATTTACAAAACGTACATTATTTTTTTTCATAAATTAAAATGAGAATAATCCATACAGAGTGTGCAAACATTTCAAAGTCATGTGTTGAAAAACGCTGACTCCACGAGATTTAATATTAGAGCCTAACACAAAGCGAAGCGGCGGCGCACTGGCGCCTACAAACCTAACAGGGATACTTCACGCATTGCGCAATGCGTGAAATATCCCTGTTAGGTTTGCAGGTGCCAATGCGCGTTTTTCGCTGGCTGCCTGCCCGCCGCGCCGCGCCGCAGCGTACCACGGCGCTTGAATCAACTATTTCACACCAGAGGTATTGCACAGTATCATACGAAATTGAAGGCGCTCTAACATTTTAGGAATGGCAGGCATCCTTCAAAAGTACGGAGCTTTCCTTGCAAAATAAATCAAGATACTACGGCCCAAAAAGAGAGCGGTAGTCCAAAAACTCACCAAGTCCTAGCATCCGTAATTAGTAACGTTTAGCATACACTTTGTCGCCAGGCTGTTGCTTAATCGCCATCGGCTATAAAAGGCTATAAGAAATTGTGTTGCCGGCTATAGAAGCTATTGGAAATCTTGCAGCCGGCTGTAGGTGTGGTACTTTGGAACACAGATTCTACTGCCAATTTTTACCAGGGTATTTACGGTGGCGATTCCAGCAAGTTGACAACACTATTAATATACCATATAAATCAATTGAATATAAAGATTCTAGGTGAACCCATCATCCCTTATCTAGAATCGATTATAAAATCGAGAAATAACACTGTTGCCAACTTGTAAGAATCGCCACGATTTATTCCGGACCATACTGTTGCCACGGTGTTACGTGAATTGTTAGAAACATATTATAAGGGCAATAATTATGTATGAAACAGATACTGAAATCATAATATGTAATTTTAACAAGAATTTCTCTCATCATCGCACAAAGGAGCACGATTGTAATGGAATCAGGCAATATCTGCACCATCGTGTACATAACTTCAGATTATGCACTGCAGCGAAAATAATATGTACAAGGTTGGAAATATCGATTTTTAATTATAGATATTCAACTTTTTTTTGATACTCTTAAGAACATGGGGTCAGTATATCGGACCATCCTTCACAATATAAACGATTTTAAGAGTAGTGAAGTAAATCGATCATACGACAGGCAACTGCGCCTTAAACTAAACTTCAACGTCAGTTTTACCAATTTATCCATTTTTTATCCTCAAACTTTGAATTGTCCGTGAGCCAATTTTTGAAAAGTTTTGGTGCCGAATGAAACAAAATTGATTTTTCTGAGCTGTGGTGTTGTATTCTTATTGCTTTTACCGGTAGGCTCATTTTGCATGACACTATCACGTATGTTGTCATTATAGCCATTCTTAAGAAATAAAGTTCTTTCGGTAGGAATTTTGCCAAAAAAAAGCTAATTTATTTCGTTTTCACCGTCGTTGTTACAGTTTTTTTAATGTCAAAAGTATTATACAAGTAACTAACACTACAATTTCTAAATTTATTCAAATGCAGTCCTACTAAAATCGTATTGAGAAATTTTTCCTGAGTCTTGACCTCGTACTTTTTCTTGCTTACGACGTCTGAAAGCGCGGTAAGCGAGGAAGCACGATCAAACCTGAATTCGAATATTATCAAAGTTTTGTCTTTCCGAACAATCAATGTGTCTATCGCCGTATTGTTCGGACCCAAGACTTCATTGTCCACTTGTAAAAACGATTCTGTATCCATCAATTTTGGGATGGAGTAAAACGGTGCCCGTAATTCGTGCTCTTCCTCGGGTAAAACTTTTTCAAAAAGCGTCCCGATCGCTGATAGCATACACTGGAAACTTTTTTTCGTTTTGTCCAGTTTGATGATCGAGCTCACGTAGTTTTTCAGTTTTTCTTTCGTCACCTTAAACTTTTCTCTGAAAAAGCTTTCCGTGTAAAGATGTCGTTGTAAGAGTTTCTTAATCTCCAGATTCGGGACAATCAAGTCAGCCCTGCACAAGTCATCATTCTTGCTGATAATCGTATAACATCCGTTCTCCTGTAAGAACTGCAACATGAGATGCTCTGTCGCAACACTTAGTTTTAACTTATTCTTCGGCTTCGAAACCAAGGAATGCAAATTTTTAATATCCTGCTCGGTGAAAAAGGACAGTTTTCTATCTATCCCGGTGATTTTTTCAAGAGTTTTCTCGATTGTTTCACCAAACCCACTGAACTTAAAAAGCTCCGTAAGTTGCAAAACTATGGGTATGGGCTCATTCAGACCACTCACTTGCCCCTTCTCTTCCATGAATTCTACCAGAGAACGGTTTTCCATCTTTTTCCCCCTCTTTTCCATGAATTTTAACAAAGAATGGATAGCGTACATCTTTTCGTTCGTAGATAAAGAATGATATCCTTCATAGGTTCTCTGTGACTCCTCTAGCAATGCCTGCAGGTCACAGCTCTTAAACAGAGTTTCAACATCTTTGAGCTTAAGTCCGTAAAATTTACTAAGCGTCGCGTTCTCGAAAATCGAGTAGTATTTCAGACTGTTAATGTGTTGAGTGTAAACACTACCAATGGAGGATACGCCAGTCATGAGGGAGTGACTGACATACTCATTGTCCTTGAACAACCCTGTCATCAAATCTTCGAGAATCTTAAATATCTGGCTCATCGAGTCATCTTTGTTTCCCTCAGCGATGAGTTTGGCGGCTGGGGCGTCATAGTTATCAACGAGCACCATGCAACTTCGATTGAAATGTTTATGCAATAATCTTGACAAATGTAAACCACCCATAGCATAAGTTCCATTTCTCAATAGAGGATGTCCCTCTGGATGTCGTTCCTCATCGTATATGTCACGTTCCGTTTGACTCAACTTAGGACTCTCACCCAAGTACTCATGGTCTCCAAACAGGTTACACATGATCGAGCGAAAGGAAACACAGAAGCTTTCTAAGTCCTCTGTCTCCAACTCCGCAAAATCTAAGTACATCACAGGGTGGCTGGAGATGAAAGCTGCACAGAAGCGTTTGTCTTTTTTCTCGCATGATCTGAGCGTGTCGAAGAACCGGCGCTTTTGGAATATGTACGACTGAATGACAGTTCCGGTTTCGTCAACAGGTATCTCGAAAAACATCTCGAGCATATTTAGGATGGACGTCTTGCCGAAACGGGGTGGCGCGTGGACTACCATCGACTCTTTTCTCTCGAAGAAATGGTTGATGAACTTAGTTCTGTCGATGAATGTTGACTTATTCCTAAGTTCGATGAATGCAAAGTCGAGATTGTACACATCACCTTCATCCTCCTCATCAAACTTCTCGGAGTCTTCCTCAGCAGCCAACTGGAAACCGACAAAAATGTATCACTTGTGAACGTAGGGAAACTTTTCCGCAAGGAACTCAAGAAGTCTTTGCTCCCTTCTCCAATTCCTACAAAAATCTCTGATTGTTGGACAATGTATAGAATTTGGGAAGTCTCAGATAAACCTGACAAATCTGCGCAAATTGCGACTCGATTCATGTATGTGTGCCTAATTGTGCCTGAAAATTTGTAGAGCGGTATTTTTTATTTTGAATTCTAACTCAGTTTTTCGTGAAGAGTATTTCGAGGATCCCCCATAAAAAGATCATAAAATACAACTCTCTATCGGTAACAATATTAATGAAAGAGCTAAAATGTATTTCAATGTGTATTATACGGTGGATTTCAATTCGCCTTCACCTGCGTCCGCAGCAATTGTTGATACGTGCTGATCTCAGCTCATTACATACTTGACTCTCTGAAGGCGTTTTATTTGTGAAAGTAAAGCACTCTGTTGGCGGAAAACAGAAGTGAGATTGAATGAATCGTTCAATCCCTACTTCGTTCGCTCTCCAACAGATTGCGCTACTTGCGCACATAAAACGCCTTCAGAGAGTCGAGTATGCAATGAGGTAAAATTAGCACGCACAACATATTCGTAACAACAATTGCTGCAGACACAGCTTAAGGCGAATTGCTTTCGCAAATTAATACAATTTCTTCAAAGAGTCAAGTATGTAATGAGCTGAAATCAGCACGCACAACATATTCGTAACAACTGCTGCAGACGCAGCAAAAGGCGAATTGTTCAGTTTAAAAAAAAGAGCATCATAGGAAATCTGCATGCAACGAGAGGACATGTATTCGATGTACATGAATCGAACGAAAAATAAAAACGTGAATCGACTGAGGTGAACCGATCGACACCGATTCAACGAACAAACAAATGAAAAATCGGATTAAACTCAGTAGAAAACTTGCATTTACTGAAAATTTCAAATTGCGATACCTGGAAAATAGGATTAGCCAAGATGTTGACTTTTCGCGATTTTAATTCCACATGTACCATGATTCATCCACTGCAAACCGTGTTTGGGTACATTTTTGTTGCTTTTTTTTTTTTTTTTTTTTTTTTTTTTTTTTTTTTGGGCTTCAAGACGACTGTCTTCACGACGCATTTGTAAGTATGCAACATCGACATCCGTAGAGCCCGAATAGTTGTATCCAGGCGTTAAAATGGAATAATTTAATTAAACTAAAAGTTAAATTAAAAGTCGTTTAGTCATTGTCACATGCGTTGCTCACAAAGCTGCACACTTTGCTTATGTCTGTTACAAGTGTTACTCCTCAACTTCATTCCAGCGTTGTCTATTGGCGCCGATTATTACTGATTTTGATGGCGATATTGTCAAGTTCCCAAAAATTGTTTTTTACCGGACTTTTACCGCAGTATGGGTGTACCTGGGTGCGGGTGAGAAGGGGTGTTAACATCTGCAACGTTTACATGCTGCTCTTGTTACCAACTTTGTCATAGCAGAGGCTCAAATTAGACTTTTTTGTTCTTAAATATAATGGACTAAGTTGGTTTTGAAACTGAGTAAATAAGTCTGAATATGTGATTTGAGTAAAGTTCTTGGTAATACAAACAAATAAAATCTGATTATCTATGCTTTTTGAACGGCTGCCGTGTTTTTTAGTCCAAAGAGCTCCATAAAGCTCCATCAGCTCCATTAGATGGCTGAGACAACCTCAACGGGATCCTTCAGTGATCATACTAGGTATGTCTGAAAAGGTGCTTTTATTTGAAGTGAGTATGAATGATTATTCAAATTGCTCTTACCACAAAACTTGTGTACAGATAAAATATCAGGAACCTTAGCATTTTAAATGAAGCCGCTAACACAGCATTACTAGCTTCAAATGATCATTGACCTAAGAAACAACATCGAGATAAAGCTTATCATTAAAAGAACTGTATACGTAAACTCGGTAAAATCTGTACATCGTCATAGTTAATCAATCTGATAAATTGATTTCATCTATGGTTACGCGTTCCAAAACGAATTATCAACCCAAATATTTTCTTTTCCCAGCTTATTCAAATATCGGAAAACCGTTCAGCGTGTGTCTCTTGATTGTAGCCTTTTAGGGTTTACATTTCGGGTATTTACTTTTATGGGTAAGTAGGGTTTTTTCCTCTGCAAATATGGATTAAATTATGCAAAAAGGAACCACTATCTTTGGTGCTCCCATAAAAGCACTTATCTACATAGGGAAACCAATGGCATGTATGCTGTTTCTAAAATGAGCCAGAAATAGTGGTTCCTTATTGCAAAATGTAATGCATATATCCTTTGCAAAAATACAAAATTCCCATTCCTGTTGGTGGAAACTGAAGTAACAGTATGGCATGGATCATGTTGAGACTTGAGAGTTGCGATAAATTCGAGGTTAGAATATTCCAACCGTCCATGGAGCAAGCGTTCCGAAAAAAAACCATATCATGCATGCTTTATTTCACTTTATGTCTCACTTTGTCACGATCTCTCTCATTTTCATTTATGAAAAATCCGAATTTTTTGCCTTTTATTACTTTTTTGCCCCAAAGGGATATATTCTGTATATGTCAAAATAGTATTATTAAGAGTTAAATTGAAAAAGAGGCATATTTGAATACGACCTTCGAATTCGAGGACTCTTTAGCTCAATCGTCGAATGAGTGATTTTATTATACAGTAGACTCTGGATTATCCGGCTTCGTATTATCCGGACTCTGGATTATCCGGATCGATTTTGCAACCATGTAACTACGTACGCATTCCGTTGGATCCGTGGAGAAGCGGTCGTAAGGCATATTGGCGCCTGCAAGGCTGAAGGAATACTTCACGCATTGCGCCAAACAGTGAGGTCGGCGTGGAACGCATTAGCGCCTACTAGATTGCATAAATACTTATCGCATTACGCCAAACGCAGCGCAGTCGGTTAGTTAGCCTAAAACGCACTTTAGCGGCTACAAGACTGCATGAATACTTCACGCATTGCGCGCTTCAATCGTTGTATTGTAATTTATCGTTGTCGGCTATACCATTCACAATCACCATTGAGTCGTTCAGTTTGGCGTTAACCTTTTAAATTCGTGTTGGTATGTACATGATGTATACATAATCAGAATACTGTGGTGTTGGTTGGTGGTGTTTGTGTTTACTATTATTATCCGGATTTTTTTTTCATCCGAATCGGGCCCGGCACCAATTAATCCGGATAATCCAGAGTCTACTGTACTGTAAAAAAATGGAAATGCTACCACTGAGAAATGAACTTACAGAGATTGGAAATAGGGATGGACATAAGACTGGGCTAAATATAAATGATCTTTATTAAACGAATGATTTTTCACAAATATATTACATGTGTAATGGTTCACATTTGCTTATAAACTTGACCGGAATCTACACTTATCAGTTAAATACACATACATGAATTGCACTTTCGTGAAATAATAAATTATCGACCAACTTGAGATAGTCATATTGAAGATAATTTTTTCAATTTTATAGAGGTAATAAATTAATAAGTAAAATTAATATATATTGGTTTTTGGAGCCTTATACCTTTTTTAATTTTTATTTAACATTTAAAAAATAAATAAATAAAAACCGTTTGTTCGATATTCTAATAGTTGATATGTTCCGTTGCCTATCACAATGAATAAATAACAAAATTACGAGGTTCATTAAATTACAAAATAAAACAAAGCGGTAAAGTGAACTTACAGTACATATTTAAGTAGGTACGACCCATATCGTATAGAAGTAAAAGTTTTTTTTTTTCCATAAATACGAGTATATATGATAATATATATCATTCAAAAACAGTCATGGATCTCAGAATATTCATGAAAACACGTTTTTAATTTATCTTAATGCGACATATTTTCGCTTATTTTATTTTTCAGATTTCATCTTAAACATAAAATTTTTGAAGAGTCCGAATTTTTTGGATAGAACCCGAATATCATCGATCAAATCCTCGGTTCTCTCGTCGATATTCTTTTTCCGACACTAGTTTGATCATAATTATCCATTAACTGCACTGAGCCTACCCTGACTTTGTTTCCAAGGTACTTATATTAATAAGTGAAAAACTTATGAAAATGGTAACTTAACGGTAACGTGGTAAGACAGCTGTCGTTCAAGACTGGTAAAATTCTACGATTAGATAAGAAATTATATGGGGGAAAAACAAAAAACTGTGGATATAGAGCTGAAGATATAAAATAACCGGAGGTAACTTTATTTAAAAGATTGAACTTTATTTAGGAATAAAAATGGTAAAGTATACGCTATCCCAAAAGGTACTTTATGGTTCTTACTTAACCACCACACTAACTTTTAAATCTAAATGGTACTGGCGAAAACATCATAAGCTGGCTCGTTTATTTTTTGTTGATGTTCCAGCATGATTAATTCACTCCTAGGATTGGGTTGGTTCAATTTAGGCACACGAGTATGAAAAATTTATGTAAAATCTTAAAAATAAACTAATTGGTAAGTGGTCATGAAAAATAGACAAGACTCTAGAATTCAGGAACCTCAGCTATCCATTTCATTAAAAGTATACGTCGTGTGGACAGGTTGAAAGAAACAAATTAATAATACTTAAATCGAATAATGAAATAAAAACATTGATGAAAACGTAGATAAATCTACGATTGCCAAGCAAATTGGCGAGTGGCTGTTACTTATCTAGTGTTTTGAAAATAAATTAATCTGGTCAGTTTACAGCAGTATAGCGATTAAAAAAATGTGAATTACCGTGAGATAAAAATGCATTGGCATTGAAGTACATCTCTCCAAATATATATACCAATAATCCAATCAAGTTACGATCAAAAAGATATTGGTAGTTTTGTCTCGTTAAAAATAAATAATAAAAAAACAGTCATTAACGTGTGTAATTCGGAAGCATTTGAGGACATTCACGATAATTATATTTAAAGTGCATTGCCTCAAAAGTGTTACAAAAAGACAGCGAGAGGAGTTGTATACCAATAAACCGTAATGGAATATCCTAACTAGTCCACTCACAAATGAAGTGTAAGTATTCTTCATGGTAGAAGAATTCAATTTTTTCACTAAAAATTTGAAACTTGAGCATATTCTCTGGATTTTCTTTTTCATAAGTCCTATCAAAATTAAAGCTATGAACTTCTAACAAACGCATGATTTTCAGAATTATTTTGCCAATATATTTTATTCAAAATATCTCGGCTTCTCATTAAGAACTACTCTCGTACAATTGATCAAATCACCACAGAGGTTAAAATGAGCAAAATTTATGGATTGTTAAAATTGACATTTAAAAAGTTCGGTGATATCGAAAATTCAAAACCAAAAGTTGCTAAATCAAACAAATATCTGACGAAGATACAAAGCTGCAACCGCGTAACAAGATGGTCTTCAGAAAAGTATATAATTAATTTTAGACAGAAAATTACGTACTAATGTAGTTCTTTGACAAGGAAAAACATTTTGCACGGAATTAACATACACCGTGCATAGTGTAGAGCGTTGATACTTATGAGATTTGCTCATAAGCTTAATGAATGCCCAACATTTCACATTATTTTCCGAAATTCCGTGAAATTCTTTGAGATTATACAAGCACGAAGTTCACGGAATTTTTCATCTCTAAGCCTGTCTGTAACTTGGATGTCTAAATCAGTCTATATCCCAGCAACTGTTTATTGTTTTTCGGGTACTAACAACAAGTGACGTGTAGGGATCAAGGTTTCCCAGGCAAAATGTAAAAAAGTTTAAAATCGCTTAAAACAAACTTGGCCACAAATTTAAGATACTTTTTATTTTAAAATTTGGCGCAAGTGAGTTTCAAACTGCTTTAACTGTTTTTAATTATTTAAAATATGACTTGTATAGTGATATGAAATCCTTATTTTTCCCGTTTTTCCGGGATTATAAAATATCCGGAAAGGGAACGAGGATTTTTCCAGGAAATAACATAGGAGAAGTTATCAGCAGCGAATTCGGTGAATTTACAATGTGTGCTGGATTAAGGGCATGCGAATGTGCTTTTCTCCCGATAGTTTCCCGAGAAAGTGAATTTTAGTCGGGAATTCCTGGGAAAGCTTCCGCTGATACCCCTATTGACGTCACACTGAAACCCTCATAAGGACCCAAAAGTCTTTCTAAGCCCGTTCTCAGGAGGCTATTTGGTGACTTTTTAATGTGTGAGTGATTGAAAGTAAGAGAATGTGTTTTACTTCCAACAAAGTTTCCCGGGAAGTTGGATTTTAGCCGAGAATTCCTGGGAAAGCTTCCGCTAACACCCTCAATGACGTCACTGTGGATTCGAAAGTCTTTCTGAGCCCGAATGTGAGGAACTATCTGCAGCGTGCGATGAAATGGTCGTTCCTGATTATGGGAATGATATGGACTGGCGAATACTTGACGCCCCAGGCCCCGTTGAGGATGGGCGGTTTGTTGCTGATCATGCGGCTCTTGTTGCGGAGGAATCCTGCGGAAAATACGTAGCCGACGGAGGCGACCGTAAGGAGGGCCAATCCGGCAAGACTGAAGATTAAGATGGAGGCTGTCTGGATCGGAGGCGCCACGATTAGGAGCAGGTCGATCAGGATGTTCAGGGAGTCTGGTAAGCCGTTTACTTCCTGTGAAATAGAGTGAAAAAGCACGAATTTATAAAATTGCCACGATATCAGGATACCCAAGCCCGAGTTGCACGGTGCCATGAAAATATTTAAATAAAAGAGTGATTTACCGAAATAAAATTGCTAATTATAAAATAATTTTAAATCAGTTTGTCAAGAAAAAAATGCCGATTTTAAAGAATCAACACATCGAGTGCCATGTTTAAGAAAGATACTGACGATGAGACGACCAGACCACGTATCTCGTTTGCGGTGTTAATATAATATCTACTTCCATTTTATTTTGTTAATGGAGAAGAAATCAATGTCATCCCTCATATTTTTCACAGATTTATTCGTACAGGAAAGTCTTCACATATTATTGACGTGGAATAGTTTTACATTTAAAAAATGAAGTATGAAAGGAAGTCTACAACGTCGCAAATCGAGATACGTGCTTTGGTAGTTTCACCGAAATTATGCAATTATAAATGCAATGCAATATTGCAACTTATTTAAAGTTTTTCAGAATGAAGGTCAACGCGACAAAAGCCTTCAATCGGTAACTAGGCAACATACACAACACTCCAATGCAGTATCGTAATTTTTCCGTCTGATCGCAATTTATCGCGATCTGTGAAATGTAAGTTCCAACAACACCCTCTCTACACCTTGCAAGAGTTTTTAAATTTGTAAGATTACTCTTTTTTGTAACTTTTTCTAATGTGACTTGTATTGAACCTTTCTGCTCAGGCTTTACAAATAAATAAATAAATAAATAAATAAATAAGTGTGAGGACGAAGATTCTGGCTGCTACGGGACCTGCCTCCTACATGACACTTGCTGGACCACGTTCAAAATTTTAAAGAGAACGGACTAAGGTTTACCTACAGGGAATATTTATGATAGTTATGGAAAAAACGGCGTGAATGGCAAAACATCAATGAAAAATACTTACAAGGTGAAGCCAGAAGATTGGAATGGTCATGTTGTTGAATAGTTTGACTCTTGGAATATACTTTGTGTTGTGCATGACTAAGTTGATTTGAACTTTCGTGTCAACGGTGATTGGCACTCCCAATTCCTAAAAAAGCATGAAGATAATCGAAATTTCAAACTGAGGTAGTAAATAAATATAATATTTTCCTTTTATTAATCACTTTCCCCCTTTGATGTGATAAATGTCAGCTACTCTGAAGGAAACGGACCTATATTTTTCTATCTTCTTTGATAGTAAATCTGGAGAATCAAATTAGTTGTACGGAAATGGGCATTCATTTCTACAAATTAAATGGGTTTTGTAGCTTTCAGGAGATTCGATGGACGCCACATTTTGTGTCAGAACGACATGCAATAAAGCGCATCGATTGGTTCCATTTTTTTAACTACTCGTAATTTTTCTCGAATTTTGAGATCGCAATTCTGTTGTCAGGTGACTAAAGATTTCACTCACCAATTTTGACAAACAAATTCAACGTAAAAAAGGCCGGGTTTTTTTAGAGGAAAAAAATCGCATTCGAGTGCAGTTTCAATATCAGTATCGAACGCGATATTTTTCCTCTAAAAAAACCCTGCCTATTACGTTGAATTTGTTTGTCAAAATTGGTGAGTGAATTCTTAAGTCTCCTGACAGCAGAATTACGATTTCAAAATTCGAGAAAAATTAAAAGTAGCTAAAAAAGTGGAACCAAGCGATGCGATACATCGCATGTTGTCCTGACACAAAATATGGCGTCCATCGAATCACCTTAATACATGCTATCTTATGGGACTTTAAGCCCACAGGAGTGAAAGCACTCTCTTAATATTTTCACCTTACACACAATGTAAAAACAAAGCACTCTCGCAGTTCCTGAGGCATTCACTTACACTCTTTGAACTGCGCCAATGCAAAATAACTCGCAAGCCCCTTCAATAAAAAGGGAAGCAACAAATCCTACATCGATGAATCTTTTATTTTGTGCTATAACAGCCGTGGGTGGACCTCTGTTGAGGCGGCAAGTGGTCATTTAAACTGTATTCAGAATAAGATTATGGTAACATTATTTATGTGGATTGCGGTTTTTCAAACTTCTTGCTGCTACCTCATCGTTTAAATTAACATTCTGAACATATTTGAACGAAATGTGCAAAGAACATTTCCGGCACGACGGGAAAAAAGTTATTTCATTGACGAGACTGTTTACCAACCTCGAAAATGTGTGTTCGAGGGGGCTGCTCTATTTTGCTAAGAACATAGAAAGTTTGATAAATTATTTACCGGTTGGATAGTTATGCTGGATTCATGTAGGCTCTTATTTGGGTAAAGTCCTTTCAGCTTGTACATGGTTATGGGATCTGCTTGGTAAAAATGCGGAAATGATACAGCAACCGGAATATCTGTGAAAAACATTAATTCGTTTATCAGGACAGTATGCATAACAGTATGATCTATTCTCGGTTCGAGATTCTGATTTTGGATGTTAAAAATTTCCTTCGTTTTAGGTGTCAGGGAGCAGTGATTGCAAGGCTCTAGAATTGACGTCATTCTCGAAAACAGCTGAAAGTTCCCCTAAAATATATTAAAGTTGAGAAAGTTACCAAAAAAGAATGCAAAATATCTTGAATTCGGCTGTTTTGCCTGACAAGAAGTGTATAAGCCCCCCTTTGAAGTCGAAGGTGAAATTCTTCGATTAAATAAATTTGAATAATTGAAAATAGTCTTTTGGAATATTGCTCAAAATTTCACGAAAGACGAATGTATCATTCAATAAAATTTTCCGGCTTGCAAACCACTAGGTCCATTCGCTGGAATTGTCAGTTTTGGATTTAGGTACTGCTTTCTATAGTGACACGACAGAATAATCCCGTAATTGAACCGAATTAAACAGAAAGAAATCAAGTAACATCAGTCATTGCGAAATTCCATCGAATGATTCATTTTCAAGAGAGAGCGACAGTGTGGATTCTTTTGAAAATTTCAGAAATTTATCTACGCAAGTAGGAGCGATTCCCTTTTTTCAAAAAAAATCCGTACCGCCGTTTTCCTGTAAAAAAATAAAAAGCTCAATAATTATTAGCAATCGCTGATGTGGCTTATTGTTAGTTCTTCTCTGTTTAACAATGTAATCATGCCTTGAATTTTTGTTTTTATTTATTATCAGCTGCTGTTAAGGTTGGCGATTGGCCGGGTTGGGAGAGCAGAGAGAACCCAATTTGATTCGAAGACACAAACTTTTATTCCATACTTCACAGAGCACACAGCCCGAATCCTAGACGAAACGCACTCTATTCCTCACCAACTCGTTGCTCCCCCCTCCAGTGATCAGCCGAGCAATCCACTCCTCTGATTGGCCAGGGGAACTTCTCAAGTGATGCTCCAAAGCAAACTCGAAATTTCCCCGGTCAACAGAGCAGCCGTGCCAACTGAACAAAGGAGAGGCAAGCAACGTCAGAGAGTCGCTATACTTGACAGCTGCCCTTTAAAAATATTGTTAATTGGATTGCATTTTGCAAAAAGGAACCACTAGCATTGCAATGATGCTAAGATTGTGCAACTTCATCTTTTGCAATAAAATTGCGGAAATCGTGAAAAACTATGAAATTTAGATGGTAATTTTTGTCTTAAATTTACAGTTTTTAGCGAGTAAAATAGAAACTATGAATGGATAATCGGGGTTTTCCTCCAAGACAAAAGAAGTTACACGATCTTAGCAACATTGCAATGCTAGTGGTTCCTTTTTGCAAAATGCAATCCAATTGAAAAAGGAATAATCTTGTTAATTGTAATACTGGACACTTATTAAGTATTTTCAAAAGAGAAGGAGAAGTTGCACGATTTTGAGAACACTGTATTCGCGCTGGTTTGGTTACTTGTTGCTAAATACAATCCACATGGTACTCGGCTATCATACCAATACCTCTTAAAAATATTCCAACTTACACTGAGCATTCTCAATAAGGCGATTTATTAAATCCTAGAAAACTTACTGTAATAGCAAGGAGACAAGTCCGAGAGTCCGGAGGGTAGACAAGGGGCGAAATCTCGCTTGCAGTAGCACTTGTTGTTGGCATTGACCGAAGGAGAATCGAAGACCCCTTTGGCGAACTTGTACTTGTATACTTTGACTCCTCGGTCGCTGGTGCCCTCCGAATAGAATTCGATGGGCAATGTCCGGCAGAAAGCTTTCCGGTAGAGGTTGAAGGTTCGGTCGGGGGTCAGGTATTGCGGGTACAATAATCCCTCGGTGGAACCTTGCAGTGATCCGCACGTAGAGCTGAAACAGGGAAATCTTTCGATTAAACAAAAAATTCAATGAACCATGGCGGATCATGCATTTTAATAATGCAGGATAGGACATATGTTTCTTCTACAGCAATTCATGTGAAACAAGTCAGTTTCATTGGAATAAACTTTCAACATCATCTTATCAGTGAAAAACTAGTATTTGGGTATTAGGTCGTTAGATATGTAGAGTCCGAATGAAAGAAGACGAACCTATGATTATATATCGACGGTGTAAGTCGGCAATCACATAACTCGAGTTGCGACGTCGCAGACTTCCTATCACACTTCATTTTTTGAACGGAAAACTACTCAACGGCTATTCTTTAAAACTCCAGTGAAAAACCTTCAAGTGAAAAACCTGCAAAAACTTCAAGGAATCATGTCAGTTTGTTCTCCTCTAAAAAATAACATAGAGGCGGAGATTTTCAGACAACGCAAACGAGTTATGTGATTGCCGACTTACACCGTCGATATATCATAAATTTAAGAAGTCCCAGGGTGAACCTCAAAATTGCAGGAGCGTATTTTATGGATCAGAGGGTCGGCGCAACCTTCCCCAAACTTTTGGAAGAATCATTATTTTTTCATGGATTCAAATACGGTGTCTTTTACTGCTAAATTGGACGTATTTCTACCAAACAGACCTATGTGGAGGTGAGAAATATGGGGTGTGCTCGTTAGTTCTCTGGCCGTAAGAGTGAATGAAAATAATAAAGCGCCAGTGACGTCAGTGGCAATGATCGAGCCGCGCAACGACGGAGAGATGGTCGTCGGGGCGCTTTAACTCATGAGCCCTTTCCACAACGCTCTCGTGCCATGCCCGCGGCTCATGAGTTCCGCATTCAGTTGCACATAGGTCTGTTTGATAGAATGTAATATCCCGCTTTTCCAATTCTTCAAAAGGAACCACGCCCTCTTTTACATTGTTTCTTATGCAGCTTCGACGAGCACACCCCATATTTCTCACCTGCACATAGTTCTGTTTGATAGAAATACGTCCAATTCATCCATGGCGCAAAAAATATCGAAATCTAAAGTTAAAAGGGAATTTTAGCAGGCTACTCGGGATTTTTAGACTTTTGAGGCCGTGAATGAGTTAAGCGCTAAAGATTACGGCAGATGGCTATTTTTCATGAGTCTTGGTTCATAAACGTCTTCAATATAGTCATGAAAAACCACGGTTTTGCCGAAAAGGGGGAACCATCGCGTTGCTCCAACCAACTAAATCATGTTCTAAAATACTGCTGAACAGCCCATTGGACCGCGTTAAATAGGAAGGAACCAAGCCGCATCAGCTATTGCCAAATTCAACAATTTCATTTTTTACCCAAAAACGGTTGAGCGGATTTTCGTGCAAATTTCAGTGAATTTTTTGCATAGTACACGGAGAAAAAACTTCGTGCGTGGGACCCGAAATTGAGGTCATATGAATCTCTGATTTTTTTGGATCACGCATCCATAAACTTGAGGTCCAACTGCCGAAGTTCGGGTCAGACATCTGAAGAACTTAGGGATGTACCAGATACTTCAGATGTGTGACCCGAACTTCGGCAGCTGGATCTCAACTTCGGGTCCCATGCACGAAGTTTTTTTTCTCCGTGTATGAGGCAGATTCTTTAAAACTTTTAAAGGAATCCGCACAAGCGTTCTCTTGTCAAAAATTAAACTGCCCACTTAAATTCAGCAACATCTGATGTGGCTTGGTTCCTTTCTGTTAAACGCGGTCCAATACCTAGTAAGGCTTGCTCCGAGGAAACATTTTTCTTCACGCGATGTTTTGAACTAGCGTAGCTACAACTCAAGTATGATTAAAGTCCCATTTCGACCGCATTAAGGCGAGAAGGGCTCTAATAATCCGCCATTCGTTTAATCTGCGAGTTCATTTTCCAGCACTTCCGGCGAGGAAGCATGCGAAGCGCGTGGTCCTTTAATTGAATCACACGCTCGACCGTGTAACAAGTTGGTTGAAAGCGAAGGCTGCGGTCGGTCCAAAGGCGCCCCCTCCCCCTCCCGCCGGTGGACCCCCGCCGCGCTCATTAGCGCCATCTCGCGGTTTATTCACAAGTCCAGCCCGAGCGCCATTTCCGGTCTAGGAAGTGCACTTTTCGCACCATGCACTTCGCACATCGAAAAGTTGCCACTTCGCAGCTTCGGAGTTTCAAACGATGCTTTGCTCTTGTTAGAGTACCTGTATACGGGAGAGTATTGCCATCTCTGTGCCGCTCTCTGATATGTTCATCAGTTTTAGGCTAGAGTACCTATATGGGGAGAGTGTGGACATGTCGAAATCTTTGAGGTTAGGTAATGGAGCTCTCAGACCCCAAAAGGGTAGGCAATCTATAAATTCAAATTATCCAGAGTGATTAATAATCACAATGGATTTGTTGAATGTGTGAGGGATTTGCGATTTGACTACTGATTCTTAAGTAAAAGTTCGCGAGAAACACGATGGTGCCACTGGTTTTCTCCGAAATCATCTCCCAGGCTCAAAAAAAGCTCTCAAGATGAGGCAAAAAAGGAGGGGATATCCCACGCTATCCTGAGAGTCCACGTCTACATCAAGACAAACTCTCCATGTAAAGACGATGATAGAAATAATAATTTTCAAAAAATCGCGTATTTTTTATGTGTAAAGAGTCAGATTTTTAGCGGCATATTTACCACAAGCGGTAAATGAAGTATAAAGGTGGAGGTTGATGCGATTTCAACATACCTTTCAGTTGCGTTAGCAAGGCCCCATTGTCCAAGACCAGGGTTCCCGTTGAAATCCTGTATGGTGAAGGAATTCGAAGTTGGCCCTTGTGATGGATAATTCATATTGATTCGATTTGCTCCTTCGTCCAACATCTGGAACATAATGCAAAATTATAAAATTGAAACCTTCCCTGTAGTTTATACTGATCATCGAAAGTCTGATTTATAAAAATCAAATAGTATACTGTTCCCGCCATTAAGACTTATCAGCTGGAACGGTCTGGGCCACGGTAGAAGGGGTTGCCATGGTTGTGGATGAATAGATTTGAATTACTTTTGCAGTCGAAGCAGAGAAAAAAGTTGTTAATCGTTACAATCCCTGTTATAACCCTTTTACAAACCTTTTTGATCTTTTGTGAAGAAAAGCTTTATTCCTTCAAAAAAAAGCGAGTTCTTCATTGGTATTATTCAAGTACATCGGAAAAGCTCATTAAAACAAAAACCTATTGGAGAGGTCTAATAAGTTCCGACACCTTTCCGGCTACTAATTAAGGAGTGATTTCGAATACGGCCCTACATAGTGCCGTGCTAGGAAAGAACGCCGCATGGACATTTGAGAGTTACCAAATTCCATTCGATAAAATGTTCATTTTTAAGGAAAGTTATGAGTATTTTTTCTTGAAAATTGCTGACGTTTTAGATCAAATTACAAACAAAATTACATGAGAAATTCGTAGACGCACATTCAAAAATTTTCCTAAAAATTAATGATTTGCCAGGGGAAATTTGGCAACGCCTGAAGGTTCATACGGCGTTTTTTCTTAGCACGGTAGCATATTACATAGGCACGCGATGTCATCGATCGCCTTGTGAATACACTAATCCCTTTTTAACAAGTTGCGTTTTAAAATTCCTTTGCGTGCATTGTTCCGAACCTGAAATCTCAACGGGGGCAAATTATCCGGCGCCTAAAATCACACGTTGTCCATTCGGCGAGCATCTCGGACTTCCTACAACACGATTTTGTAAAATTCACGCACCGCATTGCTCACACCCGACAACACATGGCCTCTCAACAATTCATGATTATCTCCCCTGGGTAATTAAGCGCGTTGCTCACATACTTTTTTCTGGTCCATTTCTCGGAACGAACCGCAGCTGAGCTCTGAACTAGGTCGAAGATATTTTTTCTGCGCTTGATGTGTTGAATTACGTGAATATCGGGACGTATCCAAAGCGAAAGGAGCCATTCCCGTTGTGTCATGGGCCCTGTCACGCATTTATCCTTATGGGTCTCGGGGCTCAGATTATAATGGAGATAGTTCGTTTTGATTGAAATACGTGCATCGGGCCCTTTCGTCGACTAGCCCCGGCCTTCGGCGATATCTGAGCTGACATCTCGACTAGTTATTTGTCGGGCTCTAGGATTAGGCGTCGATCAGTGCAAAAAGCGGGTTTCCGGTCGACGGTTGCTCTTGACTGATCATTCACTTCCGATTCGTTGGTGGGATCGAACTTGCATTTTGAGAGCCCCGCGGGCAGATTCTGAATGGCTTGTTAGAGCTTCTATTGTGAAGCGGGCTGCACCACTTAACTGTGGAGGAGAAAGCTGGTTCTTCGAGCGGCGATCCTTTTGGGCGGTCTGGTTGCATGAACTTGTCATAGTAAAGTTTTTTATGGCTGGGTTTCTTAGATTAGCATTATGAAATGACTACTGAAGTGCCAAATCTCTACTCCAGCAGTAACATAGATATTGCATTATAGAAAAAAAATATCTGGTGGATAACATAATCCATTACTATTAATCATTTCGTTTTCCAGATTTAGGTATAGGTAAGGCATGACAGCGGGCAGATTATTGAAATTGATAGACGAAGCTATAGACAAAGCAGACAAAAAAGAAATGGAGGGATCTTACTGGTGCAAGAGAGTGGTTGCAATCAGTGTTCGAAACTCACAGGTGCCAACGCGCCAAATGCGACTCAGAAATCGGTCATGGCGCCCAAAAAATGAAGGCGATTTTTCGAAATTTCCCCCAGTAACAACTACTAGTTCTGTGACTAAAGCATTTTGCGTGTAACTTGTCACTAAATGCGCCGTAATACATAGACAAAAACTGAATTTGGCCCCTAAAAAATCTTCAAAGGCCCCTAAAAATCGAGCTTGATGCGCCACATGACTCCCGAAACTCCAAGGTGAGTTTCGAACACTGGTTGCAATGGACAAAGGAGGTAGGTAAAATACTAACTAACGGCAACCCACGAGAGACCCGCGGATATTTAGTCCATCATTTTCTCCCTTACCCGTTTCAACCAATAGGATAGCTCTCTACGCCCTATGTCTTCATTGTCCATCCCCTTGTCCATCAATTTCAATAATCGGCCCGCTCAGGAAGTCTTCGATGTCGAAAACCGAGATACGTGGTTGCGAACTTACACGTCGATTTTTACCTACGAACAGTGCGGCATCCTAATGGGCGATGCGGACGAAAATCGGTAAAAGACACATAACATTAAATGATGAATTTAGTAGCACCGACATAGGAAAACTCTTTGGCACTATCAAAATAAAGTACTTGAAGAATAAGAAAATGTTACATCTCAGGATATTTTGCGTATTTTCCGAGGAAAGTTTATTTGGACTGCGTTAAGCAGAAAGGAACCAACCCACATTTTGGAAAAAATTGAGTTATGAGTGGTTTTGAACTCAACCACAGCTCTACTATCTATCGCCAAAAGTTCAAAGTTTTTGTTGGAGCAAATTTTGCAGAAATTGAACTTGAAGTTTATGTTTTACATTGAGTCTTATGCAGGAGCCAAACTTTAAACCTCTTTTTCTCGGTTCGATCCCGATGTGGCTTGGTTCCTTTCTGTTTAACTCCGTTCATTTGAAGTTGGCAACCTCGAATCAGCCCTATGTTAACAATGTAAAAGCAACGTGAAACACCCAAACTTTAACTTCAAATATCTCTGATAGTCGCATAAAGTTGCAAGATCTTTTTCGTAGAATTGAAGTTGGATATCTGAGGATTAAAAAAATATCAACCACTCAGAGCATTTTGCGTTTCAAGAGAGAAATCTTCATTTGAAGTTGACGTCTTTTTCCCGTGTATTTCTTATGGACCAGTGATTCTCGACCAATTTCTCGCCCACTTCCTACCCACATTTGAAGTAGTTTTAAGCCAAAAATTTGAAAATGAGCCATCATCGTGAGTCAGAAATATCTTTAAGATGACAAACTTCAAAAAAAATATTCAGATGTCGAGTTGTGAGTTTTTGATTTTTGTCCACAGAGAGCCGCACTGTGCTACAGTCAAACGGCATTTTCCCTACTTTCCTTTTCCCTCGCCACGACAAGATCCCTACTCGCAGCTTTACGACGCAGCTAGATGCGTGTTTTTGAACCGAAGCCATCAACATCCATCGACCGATGCGGGAAATCGTTGATCTTATCTTTTGGCCCGGATCGAGCCGAACGTCCATAGGGCGAGCTGGCCGCGTGAACGCGAACATAACGCGGACGTTTAATTGCGCCGTAAACAAAGTAGGTGCCAAACGAAATGGTCATGGTAATGGATTAATTGTAAAACGCACGCGGAAACGACATCCGCAAAAATCCGAGCTTTGCTGATGAGGCGTGAGCGGATTATTACCGTGTTTCGCGATATATCGATCGACTACCATTTAAACCTATGGAAAAGGATCGATAGACAGGGCGTACCTGAATAATCGATTCTTCACCGTAGCCTCAAATGGGGAAATATCGAAAATCGATCGTTCGCGCCGAGCTACTGGTTATTACTTTTGAATCGGTGAGAGAACTGCAATGATGAGGCGTGAGCGGATTACTACCGTGTTTCGCGATATATCGATCGATCTGCCATTTAAACCTATAGAAAAATATCGATAAAATGAGTGTATCTGAATGATCGATTCTTCACCGTAGCCTCAAATGGGAAAATATCGAAAATCGATCGTTCGCGCCTCGCTACTGGTTATTACTTTTGAATCGGTGAGAGAACTGCAATCGGAATGAGAGGCGAACAGGTGTGACTTAAGTTGCTTAGCTGAGTAAAAAGCGCGTAAGTTCATGGATCCTTTTGCGGAGGTTTGTTGTTTTTCTTGAGGACGGCTGCACAATTGGAGCAGACTGCGCGGCGCGCGACACTGCCGCATTACACGCACGCAGGGAAACCCCCTCGCCTTGCCGTTAATTGGACGGATTTATGCTAAAAGGAACTATGTGCATAGAAATTGCGTGTAACATAGTTCCTTTTACCATAAACACGTCCAATTATCCTGACATAAGTGGAATGATTCTGATTTTCATGTGACACTATTCTCGATAGAAGATTTGCGTATCGAGATACGAACTTTCAAATTCGCTGCATTTGTGCGGAATTCTGGACAGGTGTTCTGACAAAAGATTATCGAAGATTGAATTAGAGTCTACTCTACGCTCTACGTTCAATTACACGGATAAAAATATTTGTGTTCTTGTGTTCCCTCTCCCTCAAATTGCGAACAATTTCCTCCACTATGAAAATGCAAAAAAAAAGGGGGGTAATGCTAAAACTTCCGTCCGGCTCTGTCGACTACTTTCTTTACTCTGCATTTAAGTCTCCTACGATATTTATAGGATCCCTGACCCCAGACTCTACGGAAAACCGATTCAAACGTATTTCGTCAAATTGTCACGAGGTGATGAATCACGTCTGGTCGCGGCGACTACTTTCTTACTCGTGCGTTTAAGTCTCTAATGTGACTTTTGAAATTGATTTTATAAATTACATGCAAAAAATCGTTTTAACCCCGGAACTTCTCCACGGCAAATTCGGTAACCAGTGCAGCAGGTGAAACCCGTCAAAGGTCAACAACTTTCTGCCACCCAGATTCGCCAACATTTTTTTTTATTCCGAGTGTCCAGGTGTCTATGAAAGTGGTAGTTTTGTGCTAAAAAGAGGCTCTCTCAGCATCAATACAGGAAAGAGGAGAAGACTGATTTTCGGTACCACCAAGATCATCTTGAAGCGTATATGGAGACACTCTTTGTAATACCGCGCTGATGTTGATGATCGCTGTGCCTTTTATCATCGGATTTCCCCTCAGAGGGAGCTGGTGATTAAATTTCAAACTTTGGTAATCTTTGTTTTT